GTCCCACACTCAGGTAGGACGTCCCACACTCAGGTAGGACGTCCCACGCTCAGTTAGGACGTCCCACACTCAGGTAGGACGTCCCATACTCAGGTAGGACGTCCGAGTAGGACGTCCCACACTCAGGTAGGACGTCCCACACTCAGGTAGGACGTCCCACATTCAGGTAGGACATCCCACTCTCAGCTAGGAAGTCCCACATTCAGGTAGGACGTCCAACATTCAGGTAGGACGTCCCACTGTCAGGTAGGACGTCCTACTCTCAGGTAGTATAATGTCCCACACTCAGATAGGACATCCCACTCTCAGCTAGGACGTCCCACATTCAGGTAGGACGTCCAACATTCAGGTAGGACGTCCCACTCTCAGGTAGAACATCTTATTGCTCTTGTATCTGCTGAAAAGGGTCCGACCTGTGCAAAAGTCCTGATCTGGTCCTCGGTTCTGTCGGTTCTCATGACACCTGTGTGTTTCTGTGTTTCAGGCCCAATTCGACTTGGCCTTCGTGGTCCGGTACAAACCCGACGAGCAGCCGGCTCTGAGGCCGCACCACGACGCCTCCACCTTCACCATCAACATCGCTCTCAACCAGGTCGGCATCGATTACCAGGTGAGTCTGAGCTCCCATCATGCACCTCAGCTGAGGTTAAACTTAATGTTAATGCCGTGAACTGCCTTTAATCAGAATCAGAATAAACTTTATGATCATTGCACCGAGATACAACGAGAACATGTACATGCAGTCGTCTGGAAGATGGGCGGAGTGCACGAAGCTGCTGCTGCACTGAGCGCGGCCTTCTTATCCTTATCAGATAATAATCTTAGATGGGAAAAGGGGTAGAAACATGAGGGTAGATGGTGGTATTACAAAAAAATATTTCACATCTTGTCTATCAGGACACGATTTGAGACATTAAAAACTCTACCAGCAGCTCAATTAAAACATGATCACATGCATCTGACATTGAGGTGTTGAGATTTGTCCATGATCTTTTTTCAGATCAGCCACAGTTTCTGAAGTTGTTTCAGCCAGCAGTTCTGATAAGCTCACACAGAAAGTTCTCCGGGGGGGGGGTTGCGATAGATGAAGCTTTTGTCCTTGGGTGCTCATGTCCCAGGAGAAATTTGATAGTCGCCCCATCCCGAGGCCGTCAGGGAGTCTGATTCAGATCAGCTTGATTCTTGTTTTTCTTCAGGCAGAGATTACTTTTTTCTTCAGCCTCGAGTCCATTCTGGATGTTCTGGTTCTGAAAATGCCTAACTGTGGGATTCCATTCCACTGATCCATGCTATGAGTCTCCCTCAAGGTCGAACCCACCACGCTGACGAGTCCCAGAAGCCACAGGTGGCCTGCGAGTCTCAATCACCTCCACCTTACGGTTTAGCTCGTAAACCAGACGATTTAAAGTTCCCACAGCGAGGACCAGACCTTCACACTGACTCAGAAGCTTTTCCACGGTCGAATCTGCTGCAGTGTCTTCTTCAAAAGTCGATAAAACAGAGCCCCGCCAATGCCAAAAACCAGAGTCCTGCTATCATAAGTCCAAATATATAAACGTCTTCAACATCCTCCTGAGACAGGACTGAGAGGCACATCATCTGCCACACTCCCCACAGGTCCATGACGTACCCCACAGTGTGAGTCTCAGCTGGACACACAGGTTCTCCAGGACCTTGTCGCTTTGATGAAAAAATCTTATCAATAGAGTTGAACGCCCACGATACCAAATCCATAATCTTCTTAATTTATGTTCGGGAGATGAGACCCAGGCGCTTCAGACTCAGAGAGCAGAGCAGGAGGAAGGAAGAACGGGGGAGGAGAAACAGAAGCTGCCACCTCGATGAGAGTCAGGGAGCAAGAAACTAAAGTCTGTTCACCTTTATTTAATTATGTTATTTGAAACTAAAGCAAAGAAAAATGTCACTTATTTTTTACCCTCCTGCTGCCCTTGGGTCAAAATGACCCAAGAAGTTCTTAAAACTGAGGCGTCGTTTTGACCCAAGGGCAGCAGGAGGGTAAGAACATTTTCCCACGTTTACAAATTAATACAGTTTATAGGTTTGATTTAAAAAAAAAGGCCAGTAGTTGTTTAGAAAAGTTAAAAAAAAGCAGAAATTTCACTGCAAGTTTCACTTTTTAATTTACCCTTATCATCAGAAAAAATCAGCCGTGTATTTTTATAATTTAATCATTTTTCAGGTTGTCAGTAAAGTCCTGAGAAAAGCTCGTAATTCTTCTAATTGTTTGGTGCGGATTGTTCGAAACACGAAGATAACGGTGGATGTAACCTCACAGTAACGTTACTGCCCTCTAGAGGTCCGCAGAGGAACAACCAACCACATTGAAATCCTTTATAAATGCAATCATACGATCTTTATAAGAAAATAATGCTTTTATTTTAGTTTGGAGAATTGATGAAAGTATCGTTTCAAAAGACAGATTTTATTTTATTGGCATATCATTTCTCAAATGTTTGTTAATTTTTCCCCCTCTGAAATAAAACATTTTTAACCAGGAATAAAAGACAACTGAAGTTTACCAAAGCTCGTTAGGTTTTATTTTTATACAAGTCCCCTCCTGAGTGTCCGTTTCTTCCTGGGGTTTATTTCTGTGTTTTGTTGTCGGAGGTGTAGAGTGACAGAACAGGAAGTCGTTTTCTTGGGAGTTTCCTGTAGAGGTTTATTGTCTGGAGTTCCACAGGGTCTAGTCCCTGGACAGGCTCTGTTCTTTCTGCCTTTTTACACCCAGCTCTGTTTACCCAACAAGCTTTTCAGGTGCTGAAACTGCAGACGAGGAAAAGTAACAACAACTTGTTGACCTGTAATTTTATACATGCGAGTCCACTCGTTGCGTTCAAAACCCCAGAGATCCTCCATAAACTCAGACTGGATCCAGTTCTACTCTGAAGAACTTCTCCTTTTATTTACACAGTGAACTGAACTCGGGGGCAGATTTATTTCATCTGTAGAATAAGAAACGTTTCTCCCCCTGGTTCCTGCAGTTTGACGAGGCGTTCAAAGACTTCAGCTGATTCAGCACGTTCAACTCCAGTTGCTGTTTGTAACAAAGAGTTGTATAATTTAAAGAACCACGTCACTGATTTAATTTAATCCTCTTACGTGTTTGTGTGAAAATGAACTAAATGAGATCCATTTATTTTCTGAGTCCTGTTTGTTTAAACATTTCAGAGCAGCTTCAGTTTTAATCTTCTCAACTTTGTCAGCCTCAGACAGAATCATAGGATTACAGCTGAACATCTTCCTGCATGGTTCAATTCCTAACGTTTAGTTAAAACGTTTGATTTTTTATGAAAATAATTCTGATTTTTTTTTGTTGTTGTTTGTTTTGCTTGGGTTCTCATGTTTTATCATTTCTCTCATCCGTTTGGAAACATGAGACCCTGTTTTAAAGAAAACACCTTTGTTTGAACATATTAAGAATCTTTCTATTTCTAGTCAAATTCAATGGTGCCTAATCCTGGTCC